TTTACTCCATTAAACTAACTAAACTCATATACTCAAAATAGCCACTATAAGGTACCCCTTCCATCGACAGTATAAAAGATGGCGCTGGAATCTGGGGGAGAACTTCATGACACTAGTCCCACGGCGTGACGTTATGATCAGTAGGACGTGTTTGACTAAAAACCACTTAACACCTAACCAATTGTTGATTCATTCTTCTCTGTTATCTGTAATTATGCATATAATGTATTAGTGCTTTATAAGGGGGTCCAACCCCGAAAAATTAACATTCCTTAGCTGATTCATTAACCAGAACCTTGTGTACGGTGTGAATTACTTGGGAAGCATGCACGCAGTTATAATCCTTTAAATCTGGACAGGGGCAGATACTCAGGATATCATCAAATGCTTGGTTTGATTTCCCCAACAGCACCTCCCGATAGGCAAACAGAAGATGGGGCAGGAATCTCTCTCAATCCTTGTGAGTCGCCACAAAGGTATGGAGCATTTGCTTCAACGTACCGTTGAAGTGCTCACACAGGCCATTGGTCTGGGGTGGTAAGGGGAGCTCAGGATTGGTTTAATGTGCACAATCTCCACAGTTGGTGGGTCATTTCGGTAGTAAACTGGGTGCCCTGGTCTGAGAGAAGCTCCTGGGGAAAACCCATCCGGGAGAACACTCGCATCAAGGCTTCAGCCACAGTCTCTGCCCAAATAATACTCAGGGTAACTGAGTTGCGTAGTCCACGATGGTCAGAATGTACTTCTTCCCAGAGGGACTAGGCTTGGCTAGGGGACCTATTATGTCGACAGCTACTCTGCCGAACGGATCTTCACTAATAGGTAGGGGATGGAGGGGGGCCCTTCTCTTCCCCATTCTCTCGCAGACAGCTTATTCCAATACTTCTTGAGTCTGGGTCTGGTGGTCTCTCACCAGCCATATCGTTGGAGAGCCCACTGAAAAAGTACTCTAGCATGACGAGCTGGGTGATCTCCGGGAACTTGGCTTGATGGGAGTTGAACCAGTTCTGGGTAGCCCTTGTGATGAGGCATGCCCAGTCCGCATGGGAGTCCTTC